TTCCTTAATGACCACTGTAAACTTTGTTGTAAAATTGGGTCTGACCTGACTTATGACTGCAATGACTTATGATATAAATTCCTGTCCCAATTATGGTTATGAGTCAAGGACTACCTGTATTATTATTATTATTATTATTATTGTTGTTGTTGTTGTTGTTGTTGTTGTTGTTATTTAAATCAGGCTTTCTACAAGTGTGTTCCCCCTGGATTTTCTCCAAGACATTCTACAGGGTCTGCAAAATCAAAATTATTTGCAGTCAGTGTTGAAAAACAATACAATATTAAAATCCATCAAACAATCATGAGTCAGGGTAGTAGCAACAATAACTTCATTTTCAGAGTTTCTTATTTGTCAAATTTGCAGATTCTGCTGAGGCATAAAGAAAGAAGTACAGATTCTGTTCTTCATCCAGCTGATTTTATGTCTGTATTATTAATTAATTCTTAGAGCTTAGATTCCTGTATAATGCCACTGTCCTATGTCAAATACAGAGCTGGCCTACCTAGAATCATTTATCAAACATAACTGGATGCTTAGTTTCTGCTGTGAAGAAGACATTTATGATGGACATTTGTATATTAACTTGGCTTGTGGTTTACAACTACACAAACTAATACTAATTAAATATCAACAATAATTTATAGAAAGATTAGAAAAGGGAAATGGAAGTGAACATAGGTGGAGAGGTGATATAAGGATCCAGGTGAGACAAAATCTGTGATACGCACAACATAAAGAGCTGTTTCATAAGCAAAGGAGAGATAGCAGAAGGTGTTAAAGGTAATAAAAGAGAAGTCATTTATCCCACTCAAAAAGGAGGGATAAAAATGCCCAGGACTTGGCCCCTGGGATTAAGAAGACAGAAAGAGAGAGAGAATGCCTCAGCACATAGTTATGGGATGTATTTATGGGATTATGATGATCTCCTCAATGAAACTGCACTTGTTTAAAACTGTAGCAATAATAGCATTTACATCATCATGAAGACAAGAAGATTTATCTTCAAAATATTCTGCAAGTTTATTACCCCAGGGCTTTGAGGTTTGGAAAACAATTTTTTTTCAGAGCAGAAACATTTATAGAGTATTGGATGATTTTCCATGATTAAATGGAGGTAGCAAACTAAGTCTTTTAGCTTTATTTACATTGTAAGTACAAGGAAGTACTTAGGTTTAGTTATTTATATTGACACAAGGTCAATCAGCAATCAGACTCCTGTATGTTGATTGAGTGGTCTATAATAGGGGTCCCCAACCCCCAGTCTGTAGACCAATACTGGGCCGCGGCATGCCAGCAACCGGTCTGCACAAACAAGCAAAGCCCCATCTGCGAGATGCAGGCAGAACATAAAACCACACACCATCTGGGCCACAGAAAAACCTCCCTCTCCACAGAACTGGTCCCTGGTGCCCCAAAGGTTGAGGACCTCTGGTCTATAACTACCGCTCTTTCTTCTATCTCTACCAATCTAATCTGCTCTATATGTATTATCATAAACAACTCCATTTCTTCTATGACAAGATACAAAAAAGTTTTCATATCAGATTTTTTAAAACAATAATATTAATGGCAATTATGTTTATTAACATATTTATTAATCAGTTTACTACTACTTTATTAAGCTTATTTACTTTATTAAGCTTATTTACTTTACTAAGCTTATTTCTGGCCTATTTTTCATTTTATAACAAGTAACAGGTAAAACTTTATATTAAACAAATACATAAAATATAAAGTAATAGCATAGAATGATAGAAATATTTATTATGAAAAGGATACTGTCATTGCTACTTTTAGTAATGACTATTAATTAGATTAAATATATTTTTAAATGTTAGCAGATCACTCTATGCCTTTTCATTCCGTGTTCTTATCATTGGCATGATTTGTGGCAATAACCTTAGATTTTATATGACATTGTTTATAGACATAAGCTATTTGAGAAAAAGAGAACTTGCTTCAATTACTTCACATTTATAATATATACATGATGGCAGAAAATGAAAACTTATTTTGTAAACAAATAATTTCCTAGAGAAAATAAGAATTACAGATTGTAAGGAATATTATTATTATAAGACTCTAGTCAGGGACATATACAGCATGTGCATATGCGTAGATGTGCATACATACAAATACACAGACAAAATAGTGCAATAATATGAATAGTTATTATAATGCTATAATACACATTTTGCGTTAAAAGAAACAAGACATGGAAGATGCTTTATAAATGTATTGGCCATTCAGACTAAGAAAGCACCAATAACTTTTACTGACAACAGCAAAATGTTCCTTTCAATATATAAATTGTATTTTAAAAATATAATTATTGGGAATTTTGCAAATGATTCTTATTCCTCTGTGTTATTTAATGTATTTTCTAATGTTTCAGCTTCAAGGTACGTAATAGTGATTAAAGAAATTTATAGACAAAGAAAGATGATCTATATTTGACCATAATCTTTTGCTATCAATTGAAATTGCTAAACTGGTACTATTTCAGGTTAAGAGATGTTGAAATAATCATGAAAGAGTTTCCTCATCAATGGGCCAGTGGCACAACCTTTCTGGACAATTCAAATCCTTTCTGGGCAGGTTTTTTATTGTATTAAAAATTCAGATTTGACATGAAATGTAATAAAGCAATTTGGTTTTTTTCCTGCATGGCAATCTCTTCAATGATTACTACAATCCTAACAAATCAGTTTAGTTGTATTAGTGGGTTACTGAACGAATGACCCAACCGCATTGTTGAAGCTACTGATTCTTACTATTTGTCTCATTTGTTCATTCTACGGTCTTTCTTTCAGGCACTTAAGGCAGCATGGATATCACTCTTTTTATCCACTGTCTCTATCATAGCTCTGCAGAATAATTTGGGCTGAGAGACAGTGACTAGGCCAAACCGATCCAATGGATCTTTTGCTGAGGATGGAAACTAAAGATGAGTCATCTAAGCTTGAGTGCAAAACTTGAACTACAGTCTAAAGCAGGGGTGTCAAACTGCCAGCCCGTGGCAGGATGTGTCATGCTGAAACCACGCCCACCTCATTGCCAGCAATCGAAAAAAGTTGTGATACGTCATGACATGTCACATGACGTTGCAAGTTTGACAATCCTAGTCTAAAGTGCTTCTCCTGTGGCCAGCAACAAGGAATGTGATTCAACAACTTACTACATATCACAACTTTACTTTACTGCTATGGAACTTTCCTTTTCTGAAACACTCTGGCATAGCTGGAAAATTGCACCACTATTTCTAACATTAAAAAAACCTCCACACTCATTTTGGAAAAGAAGAGAAATTAATGGTTTTCAAAACAAAAACAAAAACAAAAAAAGACACTATGTTAACCATTTTAACAAGAATGTTAGTATAATTTCTAAGACTAATTAATTCTACTCCCTTTAGTGTGTTCCTAATAGAACAGTGGTGGCAAACCTATGGCACGAGTGCCAGAGGTGACACTCAGAGCCGTCTCTGGGGGCACGCTTGCTGTCGCCCCAGTCCTAGGCCTTCAGCAGGGTTTTATAAAACCTTTTGCTTTAGGCTTCCACCATCATGTGTAAAAAAAAAAAAAAAGGTTCAATCAATCAATTTCAATTTCTTGCAGGGGGAAAAAAAGTTCTCACAAAGTTGGAATTGATCGATTGAACCTTTTAGTCCCACCCAGTCTGCCATTACCACTGCAGCCACGCCCAGCCAATGGGCCACACCCACCCGGCACCCGACGATGCATAAGTGGGTTTTGGGTTGCAGTTTGGGCACTCGGTCTCTAAAAGGTTCGCCATCACTGTAATAGAAGATAAGAATACAGGGCAAATATCTGTCTTGAACTAGAAGGATTATCTGTAACTTGGATAATGATCTGATTTTCCTTAAGACTATATGAATTAGAATTCTTCTTGAAGAGTCAAAATATGACTGAAGTGAAGATAGTTCATGATCTTTAAAGTAATGACAATTCTTCATCTTAAGACACTCATTAATTTGAAGAACATAATGAAAATCTAAAATTGTCATATGTATCAGCCAAACTGCAATACCACAAAAATACACAATCTGGTACAACATTATTAAAAAAGTCAAAATTAATCCTGTCATGCAATAGAATTCCAATAAAAGCTCTATGCTGAAGACATTAAATTGTTATTATGATATCACAGTATGAACTACTGTCTACATATCAATCATGAAACACATTTATGAAAGGGCAAATTATGCTCTTTTCTAAAAGAGCAATTCAAATAGCAAAAGTGCTAGCAGCTTTCATCTGCCATCAAGTATAAAATGTGCACAGCTAAACTTATAATGATCAAGACCAAGGCCTTCCTTTGCCATGTAAATAAATTAGCTGGTTATCTTTTTTTCAGTTAACTGTCACCACTATTTATATGTTATTTCCATTGCTAGAGATAGACTAATAAGACAACATAAAGAACAAAACATCAATAAATCTTATGCTAATTCACATAAGCCAATTCAGATAATACTTTATTGCTATCTCAGAGGGAAAAAGTGCACGATCAGGCCTGTGATCATACATTTATGTCTATGGTATCTAAATATCATACACACTTGTAAGCTTATCATGGATACAGAAGCTGGTCTATAAACAGGATCAGTCCTTATACAATAAAAAAGATCACTTTGGGTAACTGAGACAAGTCATCTACCTGAGGAATGGGCAGATATACCAAAACAAATATGTATTTGAACAGCTATATTCCCTTTTTTAAATTAGAGGCAACACAAATTAAACTGCTATAAACTTTTAAAATGTAAGGATTTTATTTAAATCAAACATTTTTCAAATAATAAACACAAAGCCTACACACACACACACACACACACACACACACGGAAGAGGGAGACATTAAATTTAAGAAAAAGTATGCATGAATACAGAATGACCAATATTTTAAATACTACAAAGAACTGCTCCAAACACAGAACTTTAACTGTAATATAAGAATTCTAAATCCTACAGTACCTGCTTGGGCATTTGAAAAAGGGAGTTCTTTAAAAATATATCTTTTGCTTGACTCCATGTTCCATCAATGATTATGATCACATAGGAATTAGTGGAACTCAAATCCATTTCTTCCAAATTTGTTGCTCCAGCTCCAGGATACAGTATTAATGTATTTGAACTTCTGCATATGGATGATAATTCAGGGTACCTATAAATATTTATAAAAAATGGTTTTAATTATATTCTGGTAAGTAAAAATAATGAAGCTATCTTTTCTAAAACAGCTGTCCCACTAATCAAAATGACTACCTACTAAACATGGAATATTATTCCAGTTAGGAATAGCCTTTTTAAAATTAAAAGTACCACAATTTAAACTTGATTCCTGGTGACTACTTGGACACATCCATGCAGTTTTCTTAGTAAACATTTGGAAATAGATTGCCACTATTTTCTTTATCTTCCTAGTAATTAGTCTACATACAATATATCTTTCATGCCATTTGATATATTTCTTCATATCATTTTTCTTCATACTAGTTTTATTTGTTTCCTTTTCTTCCATATCCATATTCTCCCAAGATCCACTCTTAGCACCACCCAAAGAACAATCTCTCCCATATTCAAAATCTCTCATCCCCTTTGAAATGATAAAACAAGTTATGTTTCTGAGGACTTCTGGTTTTGTGCGGTAGCGACTGATTGCAGGCTTGCAGATTCTCCGCATCCCCATGGCTAATTTCGCCCTGCCTGGGGAGCCTAAATGGGTCTAAGTTGTCCCAGAGAGGCGACGAAGAAAGAAGGGTGCTCCAGCAACTCTGGAATGGTGACGCCTGTTCCGTTTGACTTGGGGAAAGCCTTCTAACCCGACAGGAGAAAAGTTGGCCATATTGCATCAATCAGCCCAAGCTACTAGCAACTGAAGTCCAAAAGCACTAACCAACACAACTGTGACCAGTGTGCTTGAAACTGGGTGAGGAATTCGATCTTCTCTTTTCTATTCTATATTTAATTTCCTGGAAAAGATCCCCAAGAAGCAAAATACCTCCAAAAGGGAAGGAGGGGGATTTCCACTCCACTCTTATACTAATGGAAGCGGTGAATTAATCTTTTTATGGAGTATCAAAATATATGGAAGGGAAATAAATATAAAACCTGAAATTTAAAACTTAAACCTGGATAAACCTAAAATTGTTTGAATGGTTAAGACTCTCATTTTAAAGATAATTGTTGATTTTGGAAATTGAAAAACAAATAGTTGCTGACACATAGTGGTGGATGAAGACTATGACAGCTATGGCTTTAATATAAGACTTGGCAAAACCTGGGAAAAGCTAATCTGTGTTTGTGACCTTCAAAGTTTTAACAACAAAGAACAGCTGTGACAAAAAAGACAATAATCTGGGGTGTAGACAAAGGGAGAATTATAAATTTTAGAAAAAAAATTTCTTGAACTATTTGGTTTACAAATATCTATTAATTGGGACTCTAAAATTATTTGCAGAGAAAAGAAAGGAAGAGAAAAATTCAAATTCTTCGCCATCATGGATCAGAGACATGTATAAAAAACATATCAAGAAAACATAGGAGGAGGATATATAGTATATATAGTATATTGCAACTAATTCAAACAACGACTTTAAACCACAAAGAGATCCAAAATAACTTTGCAAATATAAAATCAATCTATTTCTAAGTTAACTCAACAACAAAAAAATTCCCAGAAAACAACAACAGAAAAAGAGCTGATAAAACAGATAAAAGGATATATAACTGAGAATAGAGACTTAAAGATGGAACTTAACAAAACAAGGAAACATGATTTATTCCTAGTGGAAAAAAATTCACAAGAATTGGAAAAAACAACTTCTCCCTTAAGACTACAAAATAAATCTGAGGACAAGAAAAAGATTGGATAAAATGGACTGTAGAGATGTCAGGAACATCGGAGAGAAAAGAAATGATAAGAGAAGCAGAGAGAAAGAAAAAGATTTTCAACAAACATGGAAAGGCAGAAGCCCCTTCATCTGATTTACTTTTTATATCTTCAGCAACATTCACAAACATATGAAAAAACTTTTTGATTCAGCAAAATACATTGATTAAGAAAGATACTGGGCAAAGGAAAAAGACTAAAGTAGAAACTAAGAAAATAGATGATGGGACTTACCAGAGAGAATACCTAAAAAAGAAATATTTGTTTGAATATGGTTAAAGAAATAGAAAAGTCTTGGAATATATATGTCATTCTAAGAGGGATGAATTCCCTAAATAATATAGTATCTCTTTTTCCCTTTTTTGTTCTTTCTTGATATGAGTAATATAAAAAAGTTGAAATGACTTAGATAAGGGAAAATGTTTTAGATACTTAAATGTGATTGAATTTAAGAAAATTATAATGGATAAAAATGGTTTGAATAAGAGTTAAAGAACTAGATGACTAGATGGATTAAATGGAATGTTTAAAGATTAAACATATTTTTAATTATGGTTAAAAAGAACAAGAAATTTAGGAAATAAATATATATTAGCTTAGAAGGGATATATATTGATAGAAGTAAAAGAAAGATCTTCAAAATTTAATATTGAAAAAGAAATTTAAAATTGAATTTGCTGCAGTGGAAATTTATTGAGTGGAGAAGCTATGATGGGAAACAGGAAAGGTTAACATAAAGAAAGGATATAAAGGAAATATGTAGGCAAAAATAGCTGGGTCTTAGAGTGGAAAAGGAAGAAGAAAATATCTGTAATAGAAGATAACTAGCAAAACAGGAAAGAACCTATTTTTCTAAGAAGTCATAAAAAAGGGGGCCATAACTCAGGCAACTGAGCATGCGCAATTAATTGATTAATATTAACTTACATACCTTGCATAAATTATCTCCTAATTTTAATGTACATGTGATGTATGATTTAGTATGTAGCAGGAAATATGTAGGAGGCGGTCGGAAAGAGTGTAACCTCATAGTACCTCAGCCAATGGGGAAAAAGGAGGGATGTGGTGGCTGGGACAAGGGATGTATAAAGAAGGAAATATTTTGGGTTAAAACTTTGGAGAGAACCAAGCTTTGATAGCTTCTCTCCCTGCTTGTTGCAATAAACAAAACAAAAGGCCTTCACTGTGTCTCGGCTGGTTAATGGTCAGGTAAGCTTGCCTCTGGTCATGAAGGAAAGTAGCCAGGAGCACATAACAGCCTTGGGGGCTCTTCCGGGATTTGCATCCGTTCCATCTTTGGCAGCCGGGGATATTCGAAAGGGGAGTGCACACCTGGGTAAGTTTTTCCCAGCCCTAAAGGTCGGATTGCCCCTGCTCAAACAAGGAGATATTGGAAATCCTGAGACAAAAAGCCAGGACCCAGTGAAAACCTAAGAGAAAGTCAGCCGATTTAAGGAAGGACTTCAACTCAGCCTGACAGGTAAGATACCAGAGGGGTATCTATATATCAGAGGGGTATTATTGGGCAATAAGAGTTTGAAGAGGAGGGATGCCTCCCTGGCCAGTGTCCGGCCAATAAGGAAATTCTGGAATGAACCACCTTAGGGAGATGGGAATCCCTTAGGGAGAATGTTGAAGTATTTTAAGTCAATGCTTTAAACAAGACATTTGAACAGAGGAAGGATGATACATTACAGTATATATCTGGCCTAAGTACATGTTTGGCCAGCCAATAAATTAAATTGGGCTTCTCAGCTTGGCTTAGAGTGGTGAGGAATGGATAGGCAGTGGTTAAGGTCCCCTATTAATTTCTATCAGAAACGCTCCTTGCATTTTCCCACTGCCTGGAGAACAAGCTACAAGTTGCCCCAAAAGAGTAAAAGTAGAAATGTAAAGGGACACAAATCTCCAAAGGTCTGGAAATGATGTTTAAGGGTTTGTGTGTTTGTTTGTTTGTACTGACTCATTTCTAAAAACCTGGGGGAGGGGAGGGAGAGACCCTCTAATAGTAATATACAAAACAACAAGGCCTTATTCCAAAAGGAAATTTGGGAAATGGAGCTCATTGGATTTGAAAAAGCTCCTTGAAAATAAAAATGATTGTTTTGCCTGAGATGAAGCACTTGGAATTTTTTTTGTGTCTGGTGTAAATGCAAGAAAGGGTGAAGAAGACTAGTTTCTTAGTAATTAGAAGGACAATAGGTGTTAAAAGAATGGAAACAATCAAATGGAAAAGAGAGAGAGAGAGAGAGAGAGAGAGAGAGAGAGAGAGAGAGAGAGAGAGAGAGAGAGAGAGAGAGAGAGAGAGAGAGAGAGACAGAGAGAGAGGAGCTGTGTGAAGTTTTATGCCTGGCCAGGATGAAAGGCGAGAACGCTGATCTGCTATTTTGTGTGAAAGAGTTAAGTAGAAAGCTATATATTTCCTATAGTTTGGAAGGTGACAAGAGAGGGGAAATCCCTCTCCAAGAAAAAAAAGTGTCCCCCCTAACAGCTTTTGAAATCAGGCAATTTAGGAAAGAATTGCCCAAACTAATAGAAGATCCTATTGAAGATGGAAAACAGGTTATAAATGTTTTAGGACCAATGGAATATTCATGGGAAGAAATGCAACCCATTTTTAACATGTTTACACCAGAAGAGAAGGGGATGATTAGGTGAGCAGTTAGGGAACAGTGTAAGAAAAAGTTTTCACAAAAGAATGAACAAGCTGAGATCCCTGTTGCAGATCCAAAGTGGGATGGTAACAGGTGTGCAGAGAGGAATGCTATGGCTGATTATAGGGGATATTTAATAGAAGGTATTAAAAATGCAGTGCCTCCGAGTCTTAACATTCAGAAGGCACTGTCATTAGAACAAGGAAAGGAGGAAACACCAACCAAATGGTTAGAAAGATTAAAAAGCCAACTTCAAAAGTATGAACATTTGGATCCTGGTAATCCAGGATATCAAATGATTGTGAAATAGCAATTTGTAGGGAAAGCATAGGAAGGTATAAGGGTAAAAATGCAGAAGTTAGACACATGGAAAACTAAAACAATAGAAGATTTATTACCGGTAAAAGAGGCTCAGAAAGTATATGTAAAGAGAGAAGAGGAGAGAGATAAACGTAAGATAAGATAAAAATCATGGCTCAATTGGTGCAAACAGGTCAGCAAAGAGGATGTGGAGGAGTAATCAGGAAATCAGTAAAGGGTCTTGGGACAGGTCTAGGTTGGAGGTGAAGACAGCCAGTTGGCACCAGGAGATATAAATCCCTAGGAGAAAATTTTCCCTCAGTCCCTAAATAAATAAATAAATGTGCCTTTTGTAAGGAGGAAGGACACTGGGAAAATGAGTGCCCTAAGAGGAAGGAAGGGGAAGAACTAGCAAATTTGGTGAATTTTGAGGATTAGGAGTGTCAGGGGACTAATCTATTTTCTGGTCCAGCTTTTTAGGAACCCCTGATAAACCTTAAAGGTTGGATCCCTGGAGGAGGAAAGGGTGTACTCCATGAATTCCGGAGCCACCAGATTTACCCTGAACTATATACCTCCAGGAATGCAAATTGGGAAAGAGAAGATTAAGGATCAGGGAATTGGGGACATGTAGTAGAAGCAACAATATTTAAACTTGCTATGGTCCAGACTGTAGTAAAAGGACCTAAGCTTTGTATTGGCTAAAGGGAGCTGCAATTTGACCAGGGGGTACTTAATTGGTAAATTATTTTTAATAATAATTGTAAATATTATGACCTTGAGTGAGGAAGCTCAAGGAAAAATGGACCCTCTTATATGGGCCCAAGAGGGCAATAGAAGAGGGGTACACATGGATCCTTTAAAGGTGACTTTAAAGAACCCTGGTGAAGTAATTCACCAGAAACAGTATAAATGTAGAACAAGTACTGGGGTCTCTATCTTCTCTTTGACTTCACTATAATTACTACAGATCTGTGCAAAGTTGAACTGTCAAATGTTGCCAATATGTTTGTATTATAATTAATATAAAATGTGATTGGCTTTTGTATTTATTCATCATTTAAGCTTTATTATAATTATCATAATTTGTACTTTTAGCACTTTTACTTTTCTCATATTTCACTGTTCACATTTTGTTTTTCTCTACATTTATGCTTGAATACAACTATCAACTGAGAATAACCTTCCACCATCTCATGAAGCTGACTGACTTGTGTTCACAAAGCTTTTACCATTAGGAATATGCTACTTTTCAACGATCTACAAGACTCAGTGTAGTTTTTAGGTTTTGCTGCCATAGATTCACATGGCTACTCCTCTGGAGAATATTCAAAAAAAAAATTAGAATAGTAAAAAAAAATAACAATTATAACTACAAATTTTAAAAGGTATTTAAATTAGGACTGAAGACGTATTCGATATTGAGAGAGCTTACCAATACTACACAGAACTTTTTAGATCAATTTCTTGAAAAGCCATTTCTAACAAAACTGAATTGGGTACTGAGATAGTAAAACATACACAGCTGTGCCAATTGCCATTTACCTAGTGACCTATTGTTACTAATTGCTTTTAAGAATCCAGCAGATGGTACTTTTCTTATTAATTTCTTCACTGAGCATGAAAGACTCTACAACAAGCCTTCTTTTCCCCAGAGGCCATTTGACTCTGTATCTACTGCTTGCTTCCACTTGGCCATATCTCCCCATGAGAGTCAATTACTATATACAAGCACCACACACTTTATAAGCACATTTATGGAGCACTGAATTAAAAAGGAGGAATGATAAATAAATTAACCAAAATATAGCCCACATAAAGTCTTTTAAAAAATAAAGTTGTATCCAGGGACTGAATAAGAAAATAATGTAAACAAAAGAAAGTACCAAAAAAGAAACAATGAAGGCACAACACACAAAACACAGAAGTGTGAGCAATGATTTGTTCCAGTACAAAAGGTTGGTACAGTGAGAGTTGGTTTTAATGGACCAGGTGGGGATATAATAATAATGACAACAACAACAACAATAATAATAATGTGATAAATTAATACATCTATCTATCTTTAATATATCTACCTACCCACCTTCCTCATCTAAGCTACTTGGAAGTTATCTAAATGGAAATTCAATCCATTGTATCTTAAATAAAGCTCTATTAAATAAAAGTTCCCATTGTATTGTGGCTTTTTTTTCTTTCTTCTATTCCTGGTATCATTGGACATTGTAAGAGATATAAACTATATTGTTGCTCTTTCTCTGTACACCACCTGTTCTAAAGGAGTGATGATTTTTAATATTGAGACACTGGTATTTGTTAAAAGGGTTGGAAAATAGAGGCTTAGTCTTAAACTAAGAAAAATTAAGAAAGTCCTTTTTTAAAATGGGCAACACTTTTATACTAAGCACAAAATATTTTTTTGTCTTAATTACTCCCATTTAACATTTAGTTATGGCAGTAAAAGAATTTATGTTATATTCCATATATTTATGTGGAAATAATTCTACTTCTTCTAAGTAAAATAATATTAAGTTCTAAAACAACTGCAGTAGTATTTGCCATTTCAATCAGGCTGTAATATTTCACTCTCAAAATTCAAGGAATCAAGACTGTTTTTTAAAAAATTTCAAAGCATTAACTCAACTGAAAAGACTGCTTATCAAAAAAAATCATTTTAGAATCTCCATAAAGATAATTACTCCCTGATAAAATGACTTTTTTTAAAAAAATATTGTTGATAGTATTTATTTTAGAATAAGTATTATATCATCTTTTCCTCAAATGAAACAGTAATTATGATGAAAGTTTAGGTTGCAAAATTAATGTCTAAAAGAAAATAAATTCCCAGATAGGAGCTTTCATCATTTGGAACAGTGTTCATAATAAATAATAGAACAAGCATTTACTTATTGGTTATTAAACAAAGTCATACTTTGTTTATTTATGAAACACATTAAATATGACAGTATAAAGATAATATAGAAAGGAATATAGTAGTTTTTGAAACTAGTAACATTTACTTGAATAGATTTCTGCCAAGATATGCTTAGCAAACGCATATAGGTCATGGATGTCATACTCGCCATGTCATGTGATGTGTCGTGATGTATTGCAACTCTTTTTGCATTGCTGGCAATGGGGTGGGCACGGCTTCGGTATATTGAAACCGGCCTGCGGGCCGGCAGTTTGACACCCGTGATATAGGTTATTGAGCCAGAAATCTGATCTCTGGGTACATTTTATGTTGCTGAACTACCACATAGGTTTGAGGTATCCTTTATTTCATTTTCCTGGTACTTCTAAAAATACCTAATCTTATTTTTTTAGTATCTCCATCCCATGCGCAAACATGCTTTATCCTTAAACCTGTCAAAATTCAGGAAGATGAAAAGCCAGAAATTCTGTTTAGTTATTGATTAGGAAGTATGAATAATTGAATAAAACTAAAATAAAGCTAGAGTATTACTGTGATTATAACATCTAGAAATGAAATGAAATAAAAATAAATAAATGAAAAACCAGATTATGCTGAACATGGTTTTGCTGACTGGGCTGAGCAGCAAAAGGCCAGAAATGAGGGTTAGTGTATGCTGACTAAAAGGTAGAAAATTACATATCCTGAAATATGAAAAGCCATTGGGAGGGAAAAAAACAGAAAACACCAGAAACATATCTAGTGAGAATAACTGATAGATTCTTTTGGAGTGAGCTGCTTAAGATAAATCCTGCTTGATCGGGAGACATTCCAATCTGATCTTGAATTTAATTCATTCAGTAGTTAACCTGTTCAAATAGGACATGATATAACACTATCTTCAAACTTAGATTGCAGCAACAGATGTAGAGGAGTATACTTCCTGTTATAAAAAAAAGTAATGAGTACATGAGATACTGTCAGTTAAAAGAGTAAGAGATACTCTGGAGAAATGACTAATGCCAATTACTATTTATTTATTCTCAACTATGTGCACCAAACTTCTAGAAAGAAAAAATCAAGTTTCCTCAGTCTTGCATAGAAGATTTTGTAAGATAATACAGTACAGAATATAGGATAAATATGATATAAAATGTAAAGATTAGAGTATTACGAATGGTACATGATTAATAGGAAACCAACATTAATACTGTTGCTGAATTCAATAAGACTAGCTTGGATTTATTGGAAGTAAACTACCGGTAAATAAAAATCAGTCTAAAATAATTTAGGCAGTCTAAAATAATTAATAATGCAAAGATAATTTGGACATGGAAAGATAAGAAAAGTATATTTTGAAGATACAGAAAACTATAATTTATAACATTACATTATTTTTAAAGCATGGTCACATTTTTAAAGTCCACTCTGAATAAGTACACTATAAAATAGAACTACGAATCTAAAATAATATTGCTTCACTGACTAGTGTTCTCAAAAAAAAAAAGATAAGAAAACTTATTTTAACAGTGATATTCACCTGTCTTCAGAGAAGCGTCGTCCAATCAAGACTTTACATTTGTCTTCAGGAAGACAAGCAGTTAGAAGAGGTACTGTTCGTAGCACTCTACTTTCCTGCAGTTAAAATTGAATATAAAAACATATGATTTAATATTATAATTGTTTTCCATTTTTCAGAAACAAAACATAAAAGAATGCCTAGATAAAACATGCACATATACAAAACACTGGTTGTGAAAGAACAATATATTTATATATTGAATTAAAAGTCTCAGTGCCTTTTGATACCATCAACCATTTTGGGCCCACATGGGAGTTGAGGGTGTGTGGCACAGTTCTATGTTGGTTCAACGCCTTCCTCTGAGGTTGGTCCCAATCTATGTTGATAGGGAGCGAACCAGCTCTCGGCCCGCTTTGTGAGGTGCCACAGGGCTCGGTGTTTTCTCCACTCCTTTTTAACATCTACATAAAATTGCTGAGCAAGATCATCTCTCACCATGGAATGTGGTATCACCAAGATGCTGACGACATCAGTTATACATCTCCATCCCGGGGATGTGAGTGATGCTGTGGATCACTGTGGATGTTCTTTTGCAGTGCTTGATGGCTGTGGGGTCTGGATTCAACTGAACTCTAATAAAGGGGTGGCTGTGGCAAGAGATCCCTCTGCATCCAGGAGTTTATCATCTTTGGTCTTGGAAAAGGTTCCACCCACCATACCCCTGACAGACCTGTTGCACAAGCTAGGTCTTCCTAGACTCAGAAAAAGCATGTAGCAGTCATGGCTAGGAGGGCCTTTGTTCAATTTTGTGTTGTGCACCAGTTTACTCTTTCCCAGATAGGGAGGCTCCCTACTCGGTCACTCATGTCCTGGTCATCTGCTATCTGGACTACTGCAATGTGTTCTACATGGGGCTACCTTTGAAAAATATCTGAAAACTTCAGCTGGTACAAAATGTAGCACGATGGGCAATCTCAAGTGCCCAAAGAATGGTGCATGTAATACCTCTGCTACACGATCTGTATTGGATGCCAGTCTGCTTCCAGGTCCAATTCAAGATGTTGGTTCTGACCTTTAAAGACTATATGGCATTGAGCCAAGTTACCTGTGGAACTATCTTTATCCCATTACATCATCCTGTGTTACCAGGTCAGGCAGGGGAGGTATGTTTTGCATCCCATCAGCCAAAGAATTCTAACTGGTGGGGTCCAGGAAGAGAACCGTGTCTGCCATGTCCCCTACCCAATGGAAAACACTTCCTCTGGAGGTGAGGTGGACCTCCACTCTTTTGGCAATTTGTAAAAGCATAAAAACATGGCTCTGCACCCTTGCTTGGGGGTACACAGGTGAACATGCAGTAAAGTGGCTTAAAGCCCTCCCTGCCTTTTAATCAACTTTTAACATCTCTTGCCTCTTTTAAATTTAATACATAATTTTTTATGCTTTTAATTTTTTATTGTACAGCATTCAGAATCCCGCTATGAGAGAGATGAGTAGTTCTTAAATATGACAAATAAATAAATAAATATAGTAAACAAACAAACCAATTAGTAGCATGGTGGCAATGGGAGACCTGAAAGGTCAGACTGGGTATAGATCCTCCTGCAGAAAAATCCAATTATATAGTGGTAAAAATTGATAGTAACTGATGGTACATAATGATAATTAAATAGCATTCAGCATTTGGGAAAGCTGCGTATAAAATTGGGAGTTTGATATGTACACAAATGTATTTTCTCTTGTGCTTTTTTTAATTTACCAAATAATGCAGAATTTTGATGGAATATATCTTGTACTGACATAGACCAGATGCAGAGCGTTCCGTAAGACCAGTTTTCAAAATGAGGCAAAGTAGGCCAATTCTGTCTCAGATATAGTATTGTTTTTAGCATAACAGCCTATCTCTTCCTAGGTATCTTATTTATATTATTTCCAGCATGTGTATCTAAGGTGCTTAAAAGTAAAACCTGGCTCAAGTCCTGGTTTTTTCATTTTATAATAGAGGAACAACTAATCTAAGGAATTTTGATAATATGAACACCTGTGCCCTTAAAAAAAAGTATAATTATTTAAAACTGCTAAAATAAACCAGAATTATCAAAAACGACCTCACAGATATTTGGGACTCTTCCAGAAAAAGAGCTTTTCCATTTCAACTACCAGCTAATTAACACTTGTCATTTCCAACTAATAGTTAACGACAGAACTGTCAGCCCATCAGTACTCCATCAATAATTCATACTCTCAGGTCTATGGTTAGATACACACCCCTTCTTACTCATATACTGTACATTTGTTAGCATCTCCCCCTTCCACTGTCATGTTTCTCTGCTCATCGAAATGGCAAATGTCTGCTACCTTCCACAAGCCTAATGTTATGTATTGGCAATGTTGCATTTGGCTTTCTTTTTCTAATTATGCCAGTTTGCTGCTAGGAGCAGGAAGTTGGGCAGGCAAAAATTCTTTCCAGTAAGAGATCAGATTGTCCTTTCATGCACAGGCAGCTATATGTCACTATTTCTGAAGCATCTTGCAATGTCTTGAAAGCATTTCCTTGGATACAAAGCTAGTGGCAGAGGAATACAATGGAACTGTTTGCAATTAGGATGTCATTTGATCAAAGAAGGCTGTTCTCATCCCATTACTGGGAAAATACCTTTAGCTCAAAGTCCCAACAGCTGTTTCAGTAAGTTAGAAAAGATTTGCTTACAAATCTTAGCACACTAATGTAGCTTCTTTAGGCTGCCAGGGTCACAACATACATTCATCCATGATATACATCACTAAGATAGACATTTTCTAATAATTCTAGTATTAATAAATTATTTGAGACTCGAATGCTGCACAATGGGGTAAGCTTCCATTACTTGCCCCGGCTGTCCATCTAGAACAGGCATGTCAAACTCGCGACATCATTGATGTCGCGCGACATATTCCGACTTTTTCCCCATTGCCAGCAATGGGGTGGGTGCGGTTTCAGCATGACACATCCGGCCCGTGGGCCGGCAGTTTGACATGCCTGATCTAGAAGTTCGAAAGCATGCAAATGTGAGTAGATAAATAGGTACTGCTTTGGCAGGAAGGTTGCTGCATTGTGTGCCCCTCTGTGTACATCTAGAAGTTAGAAAGCATGCAAATGTGAGCAGATAAATAGGTACTGCTTCAGCAGGAAGGTTGCTGCGTTGTGTGCCCCTCGATGTATAGTTATGCTGGCTAATGACCACAACAAGTGTCTTTGTACAATTCTGGCTCGCTCGGTGAAGAAACAGAATTGAGCACCACCACTCCTAGAGTCAGACACAAATGAACATGGGAAATCTTTATCTTTACCTTACCATGAAAACTACCATGGCCAAGCAGTGCTATGGCTTCAGCCTAGCAGCTCTTCAGCATCAGTAACAGAAATGAAAATAGAGCTGAACTGATGGGATAACAACTCTGCCAATGGTCATCTCCCAATCTGCACTGGCACTGCACCAGCAGAATTTATACTTTACCAGATAAACAAAGCAAAAAAGAAGCATTTCAAGGAATGTAGAATACACTATCAAGGACTTCATAGGTTTCCATCACGTGCAAAAAAAATTGGTAGAATTTTACACCAAGATAAAATCCAAAACAACTATTTCCTTTCCCATAGAATCAAAGAAAAATGTTGCTGCTACATAATTTTTCATTATCTGCAATTACAGAATTTGAAATGTGAAGCAATTTAATATTAAAAGAGCATTCCTGCAGGATCATTTTAGTCTACTTTTCACAGTAGCCAACTACATGCCTCTGGAGTGTTTGAAACCAGATGGACATATAGCTCTCCCACTGTTATTCCTCTTCAACTGAGATTGGAAGCAACCTCTCCTGAACGTGGAAAAGAGATTGAGTATTCAAGAATCTTACAGTTCCTCTTACGCAGTATATAAACTCCACATAGGCAAAATATAAGTCAAAGTAAGCAAACAGGCAAATAGGCTATATCTCTCCGGCCTTGTGTAATAAATATACCTGGTGTTCATCTGAACCTTGCCAATGAATTGAGTAGGGAGCAGGGGGCTGCAGGTTTATAGAAAATAATGCCATCTATGTGGTAGTTCTCATCATTTTTTTAGGAGTGGAAAACAAAAACAATATAACATTCTATTACATGAAATACCCAAAGACTATATTCTTGCTGACTAAATAAAATATATTTTTATTGCAAAGTCCAGTCCTTTGTGCAACATATGTCAATTTTGCCACTTCTGAATAGAAGTATATCACATGTGTCTCTGCAGTAATATATATTAGTAAATTTTCCTCTAGTTCTTGTCTTCCTGCATTGTAACAACTTCAGTTATGTTGGAGAGCAACTACATGTCACAAGATTGATAGTCAGAATAACAGAGTTGGAAGGGACCTTGGAGGTCTTATACTCCAACCCGTTGCTCAAGCAGAAAATCGTATACCATTTCAGATAAATGGCTGTCCAATGTCTTCTTTAAAACATCCAGTGTTGGAGCACCCACAATTTCTGAAGGCAAGTCTTCCACTAATTAATTGTTCTAACTGTCAGGAAATTTCTCCTTAGTTCTTGATTGGTTCTCTCCTTGATTAGTTTCCATCTTCCATCCTCCAATCCTCTTCAAACATTTTTTCATTATATGAGAAAGACTGCATATGTTATATGAAAATGATAGTGGCATATGTCAGAGAAAAGAGAAAAGTAATAAGCTGAATGAATGCCCTAACTAGCAATAGGATACTAAAAAAGAGTGTGGGATAAAACAGGAAGAGATAGGTATTGAATGTACTCTGAACATAAAAGTGAGTTGAAATATAATCATATATTGTAGAATGGATGAGGATCAAAAGAAAATAAACCTATGAGGAATGAATGAATAAATTGAAATGGGAAAATTAAAGTTTTTAGAAGCTGACAAAATTATTAGACAGAAAGGAGAAGTTTGAAGAATCAAAGCAATATATAAAGCTACCCATTTATGGACATGAAGGCAACAAGGATGATTTGTAAGGGCAGAACGATATAGAGAGTAAATGATACTGATACAGTCTTAGCTATGTTAAGTATTTTCCTCTAATTTGTTTTACCTATTATTTCTTTACTATTGTAGTCTACATTTTGCACACTATTACTAATTTCCATTATGTGCCTTTTTAATTGATTATATGCCTTCAAGTCTATATTGTGTGTGTGTGTATGTGTGTGTGTGTTTATGGGAAACAAAAAAAATAAAGGAAATGAGTTAGCTTTACTGATAAGATTTGTCATGGTTTAGTTTTCACTTGCATTATATTTTTGCTGATAAACAAATGGCTAGTTGAATTTGTTGCTTCCATTAACATTATGTACTCACCTCTGCCGGATGCTGGATAATGTACAAACAAGTAGAGACTTTCAAAGGATGAACTGGCAAGAATGGACACAGGCACACCTTTTGAGGGCGACTATATTTAAGAAAGAAATAAAAAACAGAACAGCTTAGAAAGCATTATTAAACTTTTATTATTTTATATTTTATTATATTATAATATTCACACTTTTGCCTGAATCACAAAATATTTATTTAGGAAATGAGAATGTGAACATTCAAAAAGATTAAATAATAAAATTGGAAATAAGGGAATTAAATTATACAGGTAGTCCTCAAGATACGACCAGAATTGAACCCAAAATTTCTATTGCTAAGTGAGACATTTGTTAAGTGAGCTTTGACCCATTTTACGACCTTTCTTGCCATAGCTGTTAAGTGAATCACTGAAGTTGTTAAGTTAGTAACATGGTTGTTTAGTGAATCTGGCTTCCCCACTGGCTTTGCTTGTCAGAAAGTCACAAAAGGAGATCACATGATCTCAGGACACTGCAACCAATATAAATGTGAGTCAGTTGCCAAGTACCCGGATTTTGATCATGTGACCACGGGGATGATGCAATGGTTGTAAGTGTGAAAAACAGTTAAGTCACTTTTTTTCAGTGTCATTGTAACTTCAAATGGTCACTAAATGAATTGTAAGGCGAGGGCCACCTGTGCTATTATACATTCTGTGTAACAGAGAAATAACAAACACTTGAAAAGGTATAATAATGGATATTTAATTGCCAAAAATTGCATCTTTTAAATATATATAGGAAGTCCTCTCTTGTTCAGAAGCTGAGATGGCCCTGGGCGAGCGGTATTTATAACGGGTACTCAAAGTTCTGACTATTGCATATAACTGTAATCACGGTTACGTGATTGTGGTCTGGCTGCTTGGCAACCAGGTTGCCCTTACAATGGTTGCAGCATCTTAAGGTTGCTTTTTACCTGCTGAGATGAAGAAGGTAGTTATTTATTTTCTCTTTTTTCCCCTTTCTTTTTATTTTTCACACCTCCTCCCCTTCATTTTTGCATTTTTTGGTAGTTTATATTGGCTTTTATCCTTTATATTTTTTGCAGTTGGTATTGGTTTTAAGAACAGTTTGGCTAATGGTGGCTCTTAAGTAGATTCTATGTCAGTTAGTCATTAAGACTAAGAATGTCCTTGCCAGTCAAGGAGACCCGCAGAGCATCTTTATTGTGCTCACTGCAACACATGGTATGCCTGAGGACTGACCAGATGCCCCAGCTCTTGTTCCTTATCCTCTGACTGTGAATGCAACTGCTCCTGATTATTTCTGGCTGGATCTGCCTCAAGCGCCTGAATGCCTATGACTTCCTCCAGCTGAAATTCATCCTGCACTCCCAGGAGAGGATCTCTGATGCCAGAATCCTCTGAGGTGGTGCTTTTGACACTTTGCCCTCTGGTAATATAATCACTGTTGAGTTTTTGGTGCTCTCTGAACTGGGTTGTTTTTAAGAAGATGTTTCATTACCAGGCTAGGAAACATCATCAGCGCAAAGGTGAGTGGGGCTTATTGGCCATTTATATATATAGTAGCTTGCCCTGCTGGTAAAAGTGTGGCTTTCTCCTTCCTGGTTCATTGATTAGGGTACTATTTTTTGCTGATTTTTATTTAGTGCTGATTCCTACTTATGTGGGTATTGGCTGTTGGAAGAAGTGCATTCTGTTTCCTTCCTAGGCTTCCTCTAGCAGCCAACACTTGGCTAAGCAGAAAACAGCACCAGATAAGCAGGAGTTTGATCATAAAGGAGGCAATGTGCATCACACACACACACACACACACACACACAAAAGGGGAAAGAAAAGAGACTCTTTGCCATTAAAAAAAATAAATGAAATTCATGAGCAAAATTGGCATCAAGTGGGAGAAAGGAAAAAAAAAATCCAGAAGCACAATAGCACTAAGAGCCCTCTGCCTCAGCTTGGCTTTGCATTCCAAATCAGCCCCTCATTTAGGCACTCAGATATTAGCATACTGATCTTCTATTTCTTTGACAAGAGATTACCAGATCATCTGAATTAATGCATTTGGAATAAGACGGTTCAATATTAAAAAATAATCCAACCTGCAGGGATCGGTACAAACTCTTAATGACAGTATCTATGAAACTGTTTGATTGCTCTGTCAAGGAAACATACATAAATAATAGAAATTAAAGAAAAATAAATAAAATTAAGACTTGAACTTCCAACCTTCCATTTTTGCACAGGTTCAAGAGGTTTTCTCCCTAATAACAGATGCTGGATGGGAAAGGGGAAAATAGCAGGGTATTTAGCCTGCTGAAAGAATAACAGGGTACTACTATCCTGAAACAGTCTCGCATTAAACTGTGCGAAGGCAGCAACAACTTTTAGCCTTATTGCTAAGATGTGATAAATATATGCTACAGATATAGCACAATTTATGCCAATGTATTTTCCTTCTGATTCAGAAAAACACATTAGCATGAAAATTAATTGCTTTTAAACAGCCAAAAAATATTTACTTTTATTGCAATTTCTCCCTTGTTAACACCTAGTCTGACATCACTAATTTGTTTTACATGACTCTATATATTTCCAAAACAGCTGTCACAGTGTCATGATTTTCAATCCCAGCAATCTGAATTAATGGAACGTAACAACTGAATAATTCAGATTTTGGGGTGTCACTGAAGTTTAGGTAGGAAGAAATGGGCAAAGGGACTTAAAACCACAATATTTTCTAACAGGCTGATATTCACACTCAACTTTTAAAATAAAAAAGCTACATATTGAAGATTTGGAAAATGGAGGAAAGGAAAACTTTATCTTGCTTGAATTGCTACATTACAGGTAGTTCTCGACTTACAGCCACAATTGACCCCAACATTTCTGTTGCTAAGCAAGACCGCTGTTAGGTGAGCTTGCCCATTTTACAACCGTTCTTGCCACAGTTATTAAGTGAATCATTGAAGTTGTTAAGTTAGTAACACAATTGTTAAGTGAATCTGGCTTCCCCACTAACTCTGCTTGTTAAAATAGGTGTCCTCAACCTTGGCAACTTTAAGCTTTGCTGGCTAAGGAATTCTGGGAGTTGAAGTCCATAAATCTTAAAGTTGCCAAGCTTGAGGACCCCTGTGTTCGAAGATCACAAAAGGTGATCACCTGACCCCTGGACACTGCAACTATCATAAATACATGCCAGTTGCCAAGCATCTGAATTTTGATCTCGTGACCATGGGGATGCTGCAAGTGTGAAAAACAGTGGTAAGTCACCTTTTTCAATGCCCCTGTAGTTTTGAATGATTACTAAACAAATGGTTCTAAGTCAAGGATTACCTGTAATTACTACAGACTGTGATTTTAAGGCTGAAGGAGATAACCTAACAGATTCCAAATCTGTAGTTCAAGAAGCAACAGACTATCAGCCACCTCTAATTGATGAATCTGGCTCCATGGCCTCTGATTCTGATGGTAAGGTGTCAAGGCATGTTCTTGGAAGAGTGCCAAGCCCTCAATTATATTACCATGAGAAGCTATTGCCACAACTCCTCAAGAAAAGGAAGTGTTCACTCAGCAAAGCCAAGAACTCAGATTACATAACAGTTTGCTCTGTTTCTACCCTCCAAACTGGAAATAATTATCTTGCTTCCTTCATCTGTGCTCCTGTGATAGCCTACTTTAAATTCCCCAGATTTTGTTGCCGTATAATTGGACCTTCAGTTTGTACAGCCTTCTGTGAAATTCTTTGGTGCTTGACCAAAGGATGATCTTGGACTTCCTTCAGCATTCCTGCTCCAAACTTCTCAGGCTAACAGCTTGCAGCACTGGCATTATTTATGAGGGCAAACAAGCTCTTTCTGAACAGTCTTTGCTACTTTCTGTCTAAATTGCTGCCCTTTAGCCCTGACTCAATCATTGACAGAAGATTTACAGCATGCTAAAAAAAGTTCTCAGAATTATAATTCCCTTGCTTTCTGTTTGCAGCAGTCTACGATTTTTGTAGGACATGTAGGGAGTATCAGTCAGAAGTATTCTGAATAAAGCATATATCCTTTAACCCAGAGGTTCTCAACCTATGGGTCGCGACCCCATTTGGGGTCGAACGACCATTTTACAGGGGTCGTCAAACAACGCGATCCGCCATTTTTCCCTGTCAGGGGGCGCCGCCATGCATGCGCGCCGAGCATGGGGGCACCGCTGCGCATGCATGCAGCGCATGGGGGGGGCGCCGTGCATGGGGGCGGCGCCGCGCATGCACGCCGCATCCGTGTGACCGGGGGTCACTGTATAAAAAGGTTGAGAACCGCTGCTTTAACTTATGACAAAACCACTAAAAACAGCCTTTGGGACTAATTCTGGGAACCTCACTGTTATTATTCACCCAGTTCCATCACTGTAGAGCGTGGGTGTCAATGCATCATTTGATGTATTGCGACGTATTGTGCATCATTTGATGTGTTGCGACGTATTGTGACTTTTTTTGCATTGTTGGAGCTGGGGTGGGCACAACCTCCATATGATGCAACCGGCCCATGGGCCGGCAGTTTGACACCCCTGCTGTAGAGTAACCACTAACACTAACATAATTAGAGAGGCATGGAAATAGAAGCTAAACCTATTCTATACTTATTCTGGGATAGACACACACACACACACACACACACACACACACACACACACACACACACACGAATATTAAACATTTCCAAAGTATGTTGTTACCAAATATATTACACATTTTTGCTTCAAATCAGAAAGATAAATAGAGCAATGGAATTACCTATTATCTCTGTGTTTTCATGTTCTCAAAGAGGCATATTTTAATTTAAAAATGGTTTTAATTTTAAATAAAATTCAATTTTAAATAATCATTTAAAATAAAACAATACACTAAACAGCCTCTTTGTGAACATGAAGAATTAAACACACACACACACACACACACACACACACACACACACACACACTTCATTTTGAGTCCCAAAGAAAGAGAGATGGGCTGTTATCTGAAATAATCAAGTTTCATTTTGAAAGTTGAGCCACAGAACTGAAAACAGTTTCCTGTCTTAGAATTGCCACAGATAGACTGCCATTGTGTATTG